GTTTAATAATTTGACACTTCTCTGTATTTTTATTTGTATCTTTATCTGTAGTTTTATTTGTAACAAAGTCAAGGCTGTTATCAATATGTTCTATCGAGGCTTGCATCAGATCTTCATATTTCATTTCAATAATATCTATCTCAGTCGCTAAATCAACTGACGCTACCGTTTCGAGATGTTCTGTTGAAGTAATAGCTTCCTTTTCGTAATTAATTTTGTTAATATCTTTTCGATCTGTTTTCCAATTATTCTGAATATTTTTTTTATCTGCCACGTTCTGTGTAACGTTTTGATAATTCCGAGCGTCCTTCCGTAGTTTTATTTGTAACAAAAGCAGAGATTTTATTAACTCTTCTGTGGTTCGCAGATATTCATATTTCATTTTAGTAATATTTATCTCAGAATCATCCGTCGCTAAGTCAACTGACGGTGCCGTTTTGTTATGTTCCGTTAAAGTAACAGCTTCCTTTTTGTAATTAATTTCGTCAATATCCTCTTGCTCTGTTTTCCAACCATTCTGAATATTCTTCGCATTTGTCATCTCTTGTGTATCATTTTGATAATTCAGAGCGTTCTCGTCTATAATCTCTTGTTTAATAATTTGACACTTCTCTGTAATTTTATTTGTAATATAGTCATAGCTGTTATCAACTTGTTCTGTCGAGTCTAGTATTAGATCTTCATATTTCATTTCACCAATATCTATCTCTGTCGCTAAGTCAATTGACGCTGACATTCCGTTTTGTTCCGTTAGAGTAACAGCTTCCTCTTTGTAATTAATTTCGTCAATATCCTCTTGCTCTGTTTTCCAATCATTTTGATATTTCTGAGTGTTCTCTTTATCTGTAATCTCTCGTTTGATACTTTGACAGTTGATCTCTTTAATTTTATTCGTACCTTTATCTGTAGAGGTAGCATCGTTTTGCTTTTGATTTAATTGCATTTGCAGACGTTTGTCTATTTTTATTGCAGTAAGAATCAGATTGTAACTAATATTTAAATAATTTGAACATCGTCTGCATACGTTGATTGGCAGTTTATTATCTGGAGAATCTAAAAACACGAAGAATATAATGTTATTCATATATTAATAATAGCTGTACAGCCGAACCTCGATAACTCGAACCTCTACAACTCGAAAACCTCTAAATGAAAAATTTATTCTTTCCCTTCCGCTCCATTGCGAAAAATCTTTATAAATCAAAATAAAACCTACCTTAACTCAAATTATTTGTTAGGTATTTAGATGTATTATTTTATCTTTGCAATTCGAATTTAAAGTAGCCAGACCTCTATAAGTCGAACTTCTATTGTCGTTGCCTTTATAATTTGAAGTTTTAGCTACGTGTAATCATAAGCAATAGCCTGGTATTTACTATTTTGTTTTATAGTGATTACATTTATTATATGTATGCAATAAATAATTCACTGTCAAATATTGATTTTTTTTCCTTTAAAAGCCATTATAATCGGAAAATTATAAACTCTCGTACAAAGCCTCCGTAAGAATTTTCATATATTAACCCTCTTTTACTCGAATTCCGATAAGTCGAAAACTCTATATAATTTGAAGCGTTTTTCTGTTCCCCTGAGATTCGAGTTATCGAGGTTCAACTGTGTATAAGTTCAAAAGTTTAAACATGCCAAAAAATATCGTACAATTCTCAAACTTACATTGATTGGTAAATATTTATATAATTTTTTAAATAATATTATTATCTTCATTTTTAAATAATAAAATATAGTTTAGGCTCTCTTCTCCACGCAAACTATATACTTCAATTTTCTCGTGTTTGTACTTTTATCGATACAGTCTTTTATCTTTGTAATCGTTTTATACAGTGAGATATACACATACATATACTGGAGTGAGCCTTCCCTAAGAAAATGCGTGGTGAGGGTAGCCGCTGTGCAAGAGTGACAGCTATGCAGCTTAATGGCAGAACATTTCATTGATTTAGTACGAAGTATATCAGTTGCTTCTATCCCTACGAAGCGAAATCGTTAGCGACAGTAGCGAAACTATTAATTCCGCGTGTCCGTAAAGCACAACCTTTTGCGCGCATCTCCGCGCAATTTCAGAAAATTACCAATTAGTAGCGCAGGGGCACGTTACATTCCTCGCATCGACACACAATCCGACCGTGTGCTTTCTTTTTACATAAACAATCGGAGGGGGTTGCGCGTGCACGTGCACGTGTGTGATCATTGATTGTCAGGACTGCAAGCCAACCACATAGCGGGCTTTTCTACTTGTCCGATAATTCGCGCTACTTACTACTAGTCGACCAGCACCTACACGGTCGTATAGGTGTGGACCGATGGGCGTGGGTAGACTTTCTCGATATAAGAACGTCCTAAGCGTCGAGAAAACCTGAGAGGCTGATCAGTTGCTGATTTAATATTATAATATTAAAAGTAAAATCTTGAAACGTTGCCTTTGGTATGTATCGTAAACTCGGGATATCAAAGATCGTTATAGGGAGATTTCTATTCATATTTTTTATTTAACATAATTTTTTGTATCGTGACATAAGAAACTAGAAACAATGTTGTAAAAACGTAACTTTTTCATGATATAAGAATAAATATTTATATATATAGAATACATATTTATGCAATACGATTTTCCTCTGCAAATGAAAGAAAACTTTTCGGTTACAATAGGTAAAACAAATTTAGCAGTCTATCTCAATTATTAATTCTGTTAATATATTAAACTATTATATTATATATATTATTTATATTTTATATATTAATGTAATTTAATAATTTATTAATTCTTTTATAATATTATTTATTGTCCATTAATACATATTATTTATTAATATATTTCTTATATATTTATATTACATATTTGCAAAACTTTGTATACTTCCTTGAGGGATCTCACAACCACCACAAGTTATCTTAATAATTTTTGGGAATTTGCTAAAGTCGCGACAGCCGATAATGTAACGACGGTGACTCGGAGATGAAACGATCCGCGCGAGATCTCGGGAGTTTTCTCATCGTGTGCAAAAAGCGTACCTTACGGACATCCGATATTTTGCGGTGTAACTCGCGCACATGCCCCGCGGCGCACGGCCCCTGTGTATGTAGAACGTACACGACGGAGCCAATTAACCGAGCATTAAAATGCCCTGCAAAAAACCTTGGTTTGTGTGCTTGGTGCATTGACCGCGGTTGACCTTTATTCCAGGCAAAACAGATTGGTCCATAGACGTCGATTCGGCGTCTATAGACGTTGATTCGATGTCGATTTAGATAGATAATTAATTTTTATATTATATATTTATTTTTAATATTATAGAAATTTATAGATATTTATTTTTAATTAAGGATTACTTGAGTTTTTATTTTTTAATTGACAACAATTTACAACAATTTTACAAAGAGTTTTGAACAATATTTAATAAAATTTCAGGCTTGTACCAAGTACTTTAAATTTTCAGCTTTGCGCAACTTTAATAACCCTTTCTGCCGGTGCTTTGTCCTCCACTTAGGTTCCTGCCATTATGTTGTTGATACGTTGTTTGGGATATTAGACACTAACATTCTACAAAGTTTCAGCCTTGTACTAATACTTCTAATAAGCTATGAAAATTTAAATGTTTGTCCGATCCGTTCACTTCTTCGTCTTCGCAGGTGCGGCGCGGCAGAAGTGCGCTTTCACGAGCGTTTACGTTAATGGCGATACTAATCAAACATTTTAGGTAGGAACTGGCCTTGTACCGAATAATTTTGAAATCTGTGTAGTTCTTGGACTATTATAGGATCAGAAGCGAAATCTGGCAAAAGCATATAACGGAGTAAAAGACACTTACATGCAAAAGTTGGTCGTAGTATAAGCGATGATTTTCGTCGCAGTGTCGTCTCAGATTATTCTTCTGTACGTTTAGCACATTTTGATACTACATCCAGCACGCGAGACAGTTGTCTAAAAGATTGACCATACTGATGTACAGAAACATTTCCGACTTGCGCACTCGGTCAATTTTCGCGCAATTAGCGCGCACCCATTCGGGCGCGTATCCAAAATTAATCAACAACTGTGTAAAAATCAATAACTGGTGCCAAGTCCCATACAAGTTATGTTATACATAATTATGTATATTTAACTCAAGTAGTAGCTTTCATAATAATGTATCTTAAAATTAATTAAAAAATAATATTACTATAGCAGTATAAAAACTGTCTCTTATACACATCT